AATTGCCCTTTAAAAAAAGAACATAAGAATACAAATGAAATTCCAGTGTTCCAAATCAACTTGTTACATCAATATAAACCCACAGTGTCCTGGCAAACAATATGCTTTCATTTATGTACCATTCTAAATTTCTATGCTTGATTCACTTTAATGGAGGCTATACAGGCAACATTAAAGAACAAAGATTATGGCATTAAAATATCTGTATGTACACCATTGATAATTCAGTGGTTTTGCTTCTGGGTAAATCTACAACCCACAAAGGTTGGTAGTTTAACGCAAGTAGATGCAATAAACTCCGAAACATGAACTTCGTAAATATTGGATAGGTTTTGGTCATTTTAAAGAAACTGTGGAGTTGCCAACAATGTTTAAAACCTATAAGAAAATCTTACTGCTTCTAAAGAAAATGTCTTACTCTAAATGAAGTAACGTCAGCTGTCAATGAAAGAATGTCACTAGTACACTGTGGACGCCTTTTGTAATGTAAATCCATGCCCTTTTACATGGTGAACCTCAACCTAGCAATTACAACAAATGTTATATTCTAAAGCTCAAACACATTTTAGCAATTTGAAATTGAATTCTGAGTACAAACCAAATAAAATGTACATATATCAAAGGTTTCAGCCTAAGACGGTGGTGACACTTGTGCCTTCCTCATTGATCTCAGTGCCTTCTCTCGCAGATGTTTTTCTAGATCATCCAGATTATCTTCAGCTTCACTTTCAGTCTCCTTACAGTAAAAAAAACAAAGCAGTTATTTCTGCAGCTAGGTAATAGAAACTGATATAGTAGCATTTTTACTGCAGTTTCAGATCAGACTGTAACACAGGATCTCACTACAGTTTTCTGCCTCTAAGCCAGCTGACATGGCTAGAATCTTGACATTTAATCAGAAGTTTGAAGCATGTCAAATAATATACTGGCTAAAGTTAACTATCTGTTCCAACTTGATGGTGTAATTTTTGGAAGGACTTAAAAAAATGTGCATATTTATATAGAAAACATGTTGGGGTCCTGAAAGACTTTAGATATGAACAGTCTTTGCCATTTAGCTGCTTTCTATATTCTCTGTAGATACATAAAGGTAATTTTGCATTTAAAATGTCAATGGTGCAAAACCTGGTCGACAAATACAGCAGAAAGTATACACAAACCAACCTACAGAATTAAGAACAAAACAGAATCTCTCTATTAGTTTGTGAAGCAGTACCTGCTTAAAGTCTTAGGGTACCTATACTTGTAATATTTGAAAAACAGCAATTTTTTTAATGATTACCTTTAAAATAATAATACAAAACACTGGCATTTATCTGATAGATTACATTTTTCCAGGGTAGAAATTGGGAATTTTACTATTTTTGAACCTCCCTGCCCTGACGATCTCATCTATACTGCCAGTCCCTTTTTTCAGTGTCCACTAATAGCCTCTCACAAGCACAGGACAAACAAAGGGAAACCAGAATTACTCACCCATAAGCGGAATTATTCAAGAGCATTTCTCTATAATTCCAAAACTTGGATAATGAAGGGACATCTGAACTAAATGGCAGCTTGATATAGGCCCTACTAATTTGAATACTGTTGTCCAATCCTCCCATTAATAACGAGGCCTGTAAAGGTGTTATTCTATTGCATTTGAAACCATAGGCTTGGGGGCTATTTCAACATTAAAGACCACGACTACCTTTTTAGGTTCTGTCTCTGCTTCTTTGTCCTCCTGTGGTGATGTGGTAGTAGCTGCCACTACAGCAGCAGCAGCCGCTGCAGCAGCCTTCTCTTTCTTGTGTTTTTTGTGTTTCTTGTGCTTTTTATCCTTTTTATGTTTCTTATCCTTCTTTTTCTTCTTCTTCTTCCCCCCACCTTCCTGATCAGAATTCTGTAAAAAAGAGCAATACATTTAATTTTTATGCCTGGCATGTCAGCTTTTTTATTTACTTTGTTTAAAGGGATTCAAATCAATCCTTTCGTGCAGGTCAGTGCAATTTATGTGCATAACTAAAAAAACCCCAAAACAAAACAAAAAAAACCACACAAGCTCAACATGGACTCAGAAAAAAAAAAAATCAAGTAACTCATATATATCAAACTCATTTCTTAGCAGAAGCATTCAAGCTCAAAAAAAAAAAAAGGAAGATAATCTACATTGGGAAGCAACATGCTTGTTATGCATTAAGAGCTTAGTTGCAGCAATACAACTAAAAGCTCTACAGATGGTAAAAATGAAAGGGATTAAAAAAAAAAAAGTACATTAAACTCCATTTACAATTAATGTACAGCACAGCAAATCTGAAAAGGTTTTTTTGTATTCCATTCCAGTGCCCAATGCACAAGAACACACTGCTTGCCCAGAGATAAAACTCCACAGTCTCCAATTAGCCACCTGATGCCAGTCGACAATATTTCTACTAGCACAGGGGTGGTCAACCAGGGGCACGCATATCCCCGGCATACTTGGAAGGGCCCCCTAGGGGATACACACGGGTGGGCGGGAGGCGGGGGAAGCTCACATGTGGTGGCCACTGACACTTCCCACCACCTCACACTGCCGCTGCTCCACGTCCAACTGTGTGCCACCCCACCACCCCTTGCTCCACATCCGGCCGCCAGAGGTACACCTATTAACAAAGGTTGAAAACCCCTGTAACTAGCACCACATATGGACGTTTTGCCCTTGAAGTGCGACATGACTTCAGTAGTTGTCAAGAACCATTACTCTGCCTATATTCTATGTTTTCTTTTAAAACCAAAGGGTCTTCAGCATAGTAATCATCTCAAATTTTACAGGTCCCAGTAAAATGTGGCCTCACTATGATTTGGGACCTTAATGATATCAATAATTTCATTAAAACAACACACATCCTACAAATTGTGCATAATTTTATCATATTGTATAAAAACATTAACTGCGTGCTGAGTAAAAAAGTACTTCCCTGCTATTTGTTTCATATGAATCTCCTAATTCCAGTGAGAGCCTCTAGTTCTGCTGTTCTGAATCTTAAACTGCAGTGCCTATTCATTTTGTTCACACCCCGCATGGCTTTATAGACCTCTATTATATCTCCCCATCAGCCTTCTTTCCAAGCTGAGGAGTCCTAGCCTTTCAGTCTCTCCTGGTACAGTTGTTGCTCTATATCACTGATCATCATCGTTGAGGCTATATACATTGTTTTAAAAGCACGTGCAAATGCAAAAACTGAAACACTGATTAAATCTGAATGTTAAGTACATTTTAGACCAAATGAAAAAATTTTATTTTAAAATGGAACAGCCTTTACTATCCCATAATTTAAAATGTACTTTCATGCACTATGGAATGGGTTGGAAATGCCCGAGGACCACAAGCAAGCATTAACAGGATCAACTTGTCATACATTTGACAAAAGCCCTCCATGCCTATTCTACATCAGTAGGACTTTTATTAGAAGAAAACACATACCCTTGCAGGTGATGGACTCTGTGTGGGGCTTTTAGCCTTTTTCACAGGTTGCGGAGACCAGTTAGTGGAAGGGGACCGAGACCGAGCTGGGGATGGAGGAGCTTGATGTTTCTTAGGTGCTGGCTCAGGTGATCCTGATGCAGACCTGGATGACGACACTCTTCTCGCTGACTGTGGACTTGGTGTGGAAGCCCTTAAAAATAAAAAAAAGTCTACAGTCAAATGCTTTTGCTTTTATTCCAAATGCATACAAAGTAACTGCAATTCTCTGTAACTAGCAATGGCAATGTTACCAAATTGTCTCAGGTTTACAAATTAATGTTCTGGTTAATCCTTTAATTTCTGTTAGAATTCAGCTTCAGTTAGCTGTAGCATCACAAAATGATCGCAGAAAGGAAGATCCAAAACATTACTAGGCACAGCAAAATGGCACACCAAGAAGATACAGCAGACTTACAAGAATCTCAGTATCTTTCCCTAGATAACAGCTAGAGGTACACCAATATATCAGTGGCATATCAGATCAGTACTGATAAAAGGAAAATTAACATTATTGGCTATTGGCTTTTTTTTTGCTGGTGTAGCTGATAATGCCACATATAAAAGTCGCGTGCATGCACGCAGCTGCAGCATGGACGCAGCCAGGAATTCAGCCCAGCAGTCTGGAGAGCAGAGCCCTGCTGGTAGTCTGGGGGGCAAGAGGTGTGGGGCGGATCAAGGCCCACAGTGAGGGAGGGAGTGGGGCCGAGGCACTGCCCGGCCAGGATGGCAAATGGGACCCTGGGACTAGGATCGAGACAGAGCCGTGGGTGGCTCTTCTCTTGCTTTAACTATTTTTACTTTCCATATCTATAAGCTAATTTATTTTATTTTATTTTTTTACTTTGTCTTCTTGGGTTCTGGGGTTCTTGACACTCTTCTGATGGGTCGAGTACTTGGAGATGGAGACTGCCTTCTCTGGGGTGAAGATGAAGCTCCCCTTCGCAGTGGGGGTGGACTTGCAGAAGTATGGGAAGCTCTAGGCCGTGGTGAAGGTGAATGCCGTTTGTTTTGTAAGGGGGATCGGGTTTCACGATTAGACCTGCTGGGGGGAGATCCCTTCCTATGCTTGGAAGATAGAGATGGGGAACGTCTCTTTGCAGCTGGAGAACTTCTTTGTTTTGGTGGAGGAGAATGCGAGACTCTGCGTTTTGACTGTGGCGAAGGTGATGCTCTTCGCTTTGGAGGGGGAGGGGGAGAACTGGTTCTTCTCTTTGGGGGAGGAGAAGGAGAGTATCGTCGTTGTATTGGAGGAGAGTATCTTCTGGGAGAAGGTGAACGTCTGCGTGGAGGTGGCGATGGAGACCTAAAAAAACAAGTTTAGAAGCTGTGTACAGTAGCAAGAGAAATGCACTTGGATCAAAGGAAAGATTTTACTCCCATGGTCCACTTTTAAAATATTCTTGAACAGTATTTAGTTTCATAGTTCGTAGTTTCTAGGGTCGGAAGGGACCCGAGAAGATCATCTAGTCCGACCCCCTGCCATGGCAGGAAAGAGTACTGGGGTCAAACGACCCCAGCAAGGTGGTCATCTAACCTCTTCTTAAAAACCCCCAGGGTAGGAGCCTGCACCACCTCCCCTGGAAGTTGGTTTCAGACCCTAGCCACCCTGACCATGAAATAGCGCCTTCTGATGTCTAACCTAAATCTACCCTCTGCTAGCTTGTGACCGTTGTTCCTGGTCACTTCTGGCTGTGCTCGGGACTTAAGAACACTGGAGCATACCTCAAATGTTAACAGTTATTTCCATATTAGAAAATGACAGCACTTGCTTGCTACACTTAGGACTTTGCCAACTAAACCATACCCAAAGAAAATAAAACTAATAAAAAAGAATGAATTCCCATGAAAAGATGTGTGTTAAAGGCATCAGTTGCATAAATCGTTGTATTCTTTCTTTTAGTACATATAGTTCTACAAACACCGTATAATAGAAAGCAATCCATGCAGTTCAATAGTTACCTTCGCCTAGGTAATGAAGGTGATCTGCGCCGCCTTGGTGGAGGGGCTGGGGAAGGTGAGCGCCGTCTTCTGGCCGGAGGTGGTGATGGACTTCTCCTCCTCCTGCTATAATGAGAGAAGAGTCACTTAAAAGACTCTAATATCCGATGGCTTAAATTTTTCCAGCTGTTGTCATTATCTCCAAAAACTATGCAAAATTGACCTATTTCAAACACTTCTTCCAAAGGGGATTCTATTACAATACTAATATTGTCTAACAATGATTATGTCCACCAAAAGGAAACTGCCAAGTTTTCTCAAGAGCATGGCATGAAAGCTGTAGTATTTGCCTTATCATACAAGCTTTTAAAACCCCGGCACAGAGATACCAACCAATTCCAAGAAGAAATGTGTACCACCAGCAAACTTAATACTGCAGTGAGTGCAGGCAAAGGGAAAAATAGAAAAAGAGGAGGGACTGAAGTACTACCTTTGTTAATGTAAAGTATTTGGAGCAGAAACTAGGTTCTTTATGCTCTAAAGAAAAAGGTTTGCAAGTTATTTCTAAGGAGGAAGTGTGCCAAATACAGTCCTTCCAGAACACCAGAAAAGCTTAATCGGCTTAATTTGTGCAAGAAAAATACAGCTTTTCCATGACTCAAGTTAAATAAAAATGCAAAGATAGACCAGTAACAAAAAGTTACAGCAGGACAACTTTGAACAAACAAGATATTAATTGAATATAACCTGCTGGTTAAGATGTAATTCAAAATATACTGCTGTGGAAAAAATAAGGGTATTAGATGCTTCACAACTAAACTTTATTCATGAAACCACATACTTGAACTCACATGAGTTAAAGAATACCCATTTGTTTTCAAGCATCATGGTCAAACCAATAATACTATCTAGTCACACCTTCAACACTTAATATGGAGAATAACTAAGACTAGGAACATAGTTTACACAGATACAGAGACCTTGGCTGAATTTATTCTCGTTTAAAATCATGGAAATTGTACTCAAATTCAAGGAGCTTATGCACCATCTTTTGAAGACTGGCAAATTCAAACAGGCACACTCAGCATTTAAAGGAAGAAATTAGTTACAATCTGGCTCAGAAAGGACACATTTTATGCTGTAATTACTTTCTGGTTAGTAGTGGCAATAAGAAAGCTACCTTCCCCTAGCATTCATAAATGCTTCAGTAGCATATGAAAAGAATCAAGCAAGCTACATTGCCTAAGAGGAGCAATTTACGGAAACAATTTTTAATAGCAGTGCAGGTAAGAACCTCTTACTGGATCTTATTTCACCGATTACAAAAATTGTAATTAACTAGGGAAATACAGAGGATGTTAAAATTTCACTTGCAAAAAACAAAAAAACTGTGGAAGTGGGCAGCTGGAATTTCCTTGGCCAATTATCTTATCTGATTTATCTTCCTGCAGGTTGAGCAGGGGAAAGGGAAGCTGTGCTCACCATCTGTGACAAAAGTATGGCTTGTCTAAAGAATCTTAAATTTATGAAACTCTAATTAACAGATTAATTTCTAACCAACCTTTTAATCACTGGTGATTGCCACCTCTTTCCCATCTGCATCCTGACAGCAGCAGAGAAAAAACAAAAGTCAAAATTTCCGTTTGCCACAGATCAGAGGCAAATACAAACATAACTCATAAGTTTCAAGGCCCAGATCAAGTTAATCCTGCTGTACTAGCTCCTAATATTAAACTCTAGGGATGGGGGTCTAAAACCAACAGAAGTCAATGACTTTGACAGATTTTAGACCAGGTCCTAGTACTATACAGGAAGCCTACTGCTGGTATCAAGGTTTTAGCTTTCATCCCCAAGATCTAAAACATGCGTAAAGACCATCTTTTATTCAGGCTGTACAACATATGGACAGTAATTATCCCAGCGCTCCACCCCCTATTTCTGCTGAGGGTCTGCAAACAATACATGTAAATGTAACACAAAGGAACAGCCCATTTTTAAGCTATGGAGTATGTACCTATATATTAGGGCTGTGTGAAGCTTCGGTCCCCAATTCGATTCAGCCCAATTCAGTGGCCAAATCTCCAAATCTGAATTGAATCAGGAGAGCCTTTAATCTTTCTGAATCAAAATCAGGCCCTTTCGAATCCATTTGGAGAGATTCGGACAGATACAGCTTTAAATGTTTTTTCTACATACCTCAATGTACCCAGGGGCTTGTGAATGCTGCAATGCTGGGGTGCATGGAGTGTTCCACAGGAGTGTGGGGGGGCTCCCCAGCACGCATGGCAGCAGACCCAGAAGTGGACCAGAAGCACTTCCAGCTCTGCCCAGGAGCGCACCAGGGCCCCCGCCCCCAGCAACTGGTGCCTCTTGTCTGGGAGGCACCCGGGGTCCCCCTGTGGCCAATCGCTGAGCCAGAGGAGGGGGATGCGCTGGGGCACTGGGAGAGGCCCCCCCCATGTGCTCCCCGGTAGACCCAGAAATGGACAGAAAGCATTTCCAATACACTTCTGGGTTTGCCCCCAAGCATGTGGGGGGCCCCCCCTGCACTCCTGTGGGATGCTCCATGCGCCCCAGCATCGCAACGTTCACAAACAGTGCTGATACCTCAAGGTACGTAGAAAAAACATTTAGAGCTGTGTCTACGGCTGAATCGCTGATTCTCTGAATCAGCATCGAATCTTAAGATTCAGATTTGGCCAAATCGAATCCAAATCAACAAATCGAATCACTGCCCCCGATTTGGGCCGAATCCAAATCGAACAGGGCCCGTTTCGCACACCTCTACTATGCATGTATCCATCTACTGTGCAGAAGTAAAAAAAATGCTTACCGAGGGGAGGACTCTTTTTGCCGTTTTCGTGGAGAAGGTGACGGACTCCGTGAATGCGAGTGTCGCCTGCGCCTACCCACTTCACCATTCTTTACATTTGATCTTTTAGGTCGTTCCTCTTCAGAGGAAGATGATGAACCAGAGTCTATAAATACAGAATTCATTACTGAAAATTGTTTCACAATTTATTCTTGCACAATTAATAGCTGAACAATAGATATGGCTTTATTCTTAAAGCAAACCCTTTTCTTGCCGTGTTGTTTGTTTATTTTTTTATACTTGCAGACCGCATCAGTATGGTGGAAAGTAGTACCAGGACAGCAAGATAAAACCCACAATTTCAAAACAAACCTCTCTTCACTGCAAGTCCATTTTAGGGGCTGCCTAAACAAACTTGCGCTAGTTGAACTAAAGTTTTGTTTTTGAATGAATTGTTAAGCGTCGACAAGAACTAAGTCTAATTTATGTCTGTCAAAGGGAATATTCTCTTTCATAATACAGATAATCCTCTCCCATAAAGGGATAAAGCCAACCTTGGAATAATTTAATAACTGGTTTAAAAGTTCTTTAAGTAAACTCATAGAAATGTATATGCTAAAAGGCTTCAATTTAAAGATACCTGTTGCAGAACACAAGATATGTACCCATAAATTACTGAAAACTCAAAGGATGAGCTAAATGAGTTTGCCCTCAACAGTACTTTAATAGGCACTCAATCTGCAGTAACAGAATTGCTCTTATTATGAGAATAATTTAAAAGGCTAGCTATGAACCCAGACACAAAACAGACTTCTGAGAAGAAATGTGAAGCAGACTATGAGCTAAAGAGCCACTCAACACAAGCAGAGGAGAACTGAATCTTGAAAAACAACCCTTCTGACAGCAGATACTAGTTAAGTTTACAAAACTTTTAAAGATATGAACATGGCAACAAATACACAGTGCAACTTTCCTAAACTTTGCTTTCTTATTTTCTTGGCATATTTAATTAGCAAATAAAGTTTCTCATTATGGTAAATGAAGCAAATTGAACACAAAAATTATAACTTAAAATGTTATATAATTGGTGCATGAAACAATTAAGCATGATTTGGGTACTACTAAAAGAATTAAATTAAATAGTGTTCAGAATAAAAGTTAATTAAAAGTATCTTATTAGAATTACAAAGTAGTGGTGTACCAGATGAAGACTGCTGGTTCTGCCTTCTGTACTGACGTCTCTGCTGCACAGAATCTGCAGCAGCCATTTTACCACCTTTATCTTCTTCTGAAAAAATATACGTACATTTGAAAACCACATTTCAGCTTACACAGAAGTTACTAAGTCAGATAAAATACTTATTTGTAAAACTACAATAGATCAAGTGTAATCTTTATTGTCTACATATTTAAAATTAATCTCTTTGTATTTTTTGTTCTGGCTGATGTTTTTGAAACAGCCTATGGAAGAGTTCAGAAAAATGGTCACCCTATTTGCCTTACAAGTACTTGATAACTCTTGCTTTAAATGCCAATAAGTCCCAACAACTACAAGAAACATACCATGATTCTTTATGATTTTTATGCCACTTAAAAGAAAAATCATTGTAAATGAGAACTTTACCTGATTCAGACAATTCTACTTTCCTAGGCTTTGGTGCTGGTGATGGAGACTCTCTTTTTTCAGGATTCTTATGTTTAGGTGCTAAAAGACAAAAAAAATAGCACACAGGAAAAAGCTGATTAACTATGATTTGCAAACAAAACAAAACAAAACAAAAACTCACACACTTCAGCATTCACATTCAAGGATGCAATTACATTTTCATAAACATATGGCAGTTTCCATCTAATGCCTATCAATTCTTGGAGTTACAAAATCTGGGAGGAAAGTCTATACAGTAATTAAAAAAGAAGATTGCATTTTTAAACAGAAGTGTATTAACTACATTTCTGATGTCTCAAATTACAGTAAACTGAGGAGAAGTTTAAAATGTTCTTTCCTAGTCACACAAATTTACTAATATTATGAGAATGCAGTCTAGGATTCTAGACAGATGAAACATTTACATTAGTGTAAGCAGCAGGGATCCTGGTTCCCCCCACCCCCGATTTAAAAGAGTCCCAAATTCTCTGATAAGACCCCAAAAATCCGTGATTAAAATAAAAGCTCCCCCCACAGCCCTGCTGGTGCCCCCTGGGAGTGTGCACAGTGGTGGGGAGCCAGCCCCACCCCCCAACCAAGCCACCTGCAGCCCTGTCCCATGCCACACAGGGGCTCTGGCAGCCGCACATTGAGGCCCCAGGGCCTCAAGCCCCCCACACTGCCCAGCTGGGCAGCAGCCACAGCTCTACCCAACTCCCTCCCTATGGAGGCCTCAACAACAGCCTGCAGAGGGCTCACTGCAAAACTGCAAAATCCACGGGTTTCTCTGCTAAAATGAGAAATCCACATTTGACTCCGGTAAGGGAGGAAAAGTCTGCATTTTACTCTGTTTTTCTGTGGGAAACGGAAAACCCGGATCTCTGGTAATTAGGGCCACGTACACATGTAGAGAAGTAGCGAACACACAGAATCATAGAAAATTAAGGTCAGAAGGGACCTCAGGAGGTCACATCGAGTCCAACCCCCTCCTCAAAGCAGGACCATCCCAACTAGATCATCCTGGCCAAAGCTTTGTCTAGCCAGGTTTTGAAAACCTCCAAGGATGGAGCTTCTACCATCTCTCTGGGTAACTTGTTCTAGAGCTTTACTACCCTCCTAGTGAGAAAATTCTTCCCAATATCTACCCTAAACTTCCCTTGCTGCAACCTGAGCCCACTGCTCTTTGTTCTGTCATTTGCCACCACTGAGAACAACTATGCAAAATTCAAAACTGAGTTAACTTCAGTCAGTCTAGTGGAGAATTACCCTTGGAAGAACTGGTAGTAAAATTTTACAGGTGTACATTACACTAACTCAGGTTTTGCTTTTCCATATTTATCCTGGGGTAGTCATTTGTTCAGAGCAAGCAGGCCATTCCCTATACTGCTGCCACCCTCTGGGGAGACGCAGGAATGCTTCCTATTGCATGAGCAACCCCAGGGCATCTACACATCTGAAGTTACACTGTGATCGGGGACAGATATCAGTACAGAAAACCCATGTACATTATTCATGTGACTAAGGACCTAGAATTGTATTGTAGTTTAATTACCAGGCATGTTTGGAAGAGATTCTTTCTTTTAGGAAATGCATCTCATCATAATTTTAACCAACTTAATTCAACTACAGTACATTTTAAGATCTCAGTATACATTTCATAATTAAGAGTTTTGATATTAAAAGACCAGATTTAATAAAATGTCTGTTCAACAACTGCTCTACCCTGAAAACACAATAGTTTGAGGCAGACTAGTTTTTGGCTAGGAAAGGACAGCTAGATAACTTGTTTGAGTTACCTAGTTTCAAGCTAGATCAAGTGTTCCTAGCAATATAGCCGTGATAAACACAGTGCACAGTTCAGCGCATGCTAACTATGCCAAGTATTTATTCAATTTCTTGACATGAGTTTTATAGCCTACAATGGAGTTCCTTATTATGTGAGGCTGCATTAAATTCAATAGATGAGGTACATTTACACTGCATCATGGTCAACAGCAGCTGAGGTATAGTGTAGACATACTGTGCGAATCAAAAAGTGCAAAATGATTAAACGGAGAGGAAAAGAGAAACACGCACACATTTGACCATACCTGATGTTCTGCCTGGAGAAACAGAGCCACGGCCTTTTCTTGCACGATTCGTCTGTTGTGGGGTTGGAGACCTACGTGGTTTTGGTGGTGGACTTGCTGGCGGGGATGGTCTGTGCCTCCGCCTTGGAGGACTTGCAGAAGGGGAGAGTCTACGCGTCTTACGAGGAGGACTGGATACAATTCTTTTTGGTGGTTTCTTTGGTGGTGATCGCGAACGCGAAGAGGAGGAAGACGAGCTACTTCCAGATAAAGATGCTGATGACCTTCTTCTCCTGCAAATTCAAAGTTAATATTAGGTTCCGATTAATAACACTGTTTGAAGCGTGCAAGTGTTAATATAGGACTTCACTCGTGTGCAAGCATTTTTATATCGAGAAATACAACAGCACTTCCAAAAAAACCTGGCAAATACTCCACATACTTGCTCTGTAAAGGCAACTAAACTCGAACTACAAAGTGCACGCAAACAATTTGTTAGTAATACCATTTTGTTTTCTTTTTGCAAAACTGCAAAAAATGCTGAGCTTTTTTTGGAGACATTAGTTGGCTCCAACTTCTCAATCACTGAATCTTCCACAGGAGAACTAGATCTGCTGGACCTCAAAAGCAATCTATTCAACAGACTTATATAGCTAAGAACCAATTTCAAAAACGCTTATAGAAAAATTTAATACTAGGAAGCAAAAAATTCTGTCAGGCAAGTTAAAATTTGTAACTGATTATATTCAGACTTGTTAAACATAAAAAGATAGGGTCTCTAGAATTCTGCGGCAAAATTTGTGGTGAGTTCTGTTGCAATTGTGTACCTGCAGAATCCACCTTTGGCAGCAGAATTGCTGAGAACCTGAAAAAAAGAAACCCTATCTTGAGCGAGAAAACATGCTGAAAAGGTGTACTTGTACAACTTGTAAAATAAAGTTTTGTTACTTTTACAGTAATTGTAAGTCTGGAACTTATTTTTAAACAAACTTAAAAAAATATGAGAAACTAAGGAAAACAAGGCTCAAAACTGCAAAGAAAATATTACTATTGTTCTTACATCGGCTGAAAACCAAAGTTTACTATTTTCCCACTACTTTGAAAGTCTGATGCACACAGCAGCAGGAACAACAATATTTTTTTGCTACTACAATTGTTTAAAGGGTAGCAAAGGAGTAAATTCCTAGCAACACTGAGCAAAAGGACCATTAAGAAGAGACTGAACCAAGTTCTTAAAAAGCCAGTTTTATAAAAGAAAAGTAGTTAAAATGAGAAATAAAAAGGTGAAACTTCGACTGCATCATCCCAAGAGTGAATCATGTGCAATGATGTAATGACTGAAGGGTAGGGCTGCGTGAAGCTTCAGTTACCAATTTGATTCAGCAGAGATTTGGCCTGATTTGACGGCCAAATCTCCGATTCTGAATCGAATCAGGAGACCCATTAATCTCTCTGAATCGAATCGGAACCCTCCAAATTGATTCGGCAATTTGGATATAGACACAGCTTTAACTGTTTTTTCTACGTACCTCAAGGTACCAGGCGGTTCATGAACACTACACTGCTGGGGCACATGGAGTGTCCCACAGGAATGGGGGGGCCAGGGTCGCCAGCATGCTTGGCAGCAGAACCGGAAGTGGACCAGAAACACTTCTCGTCTACTTTTGGGTCCGCTGGGGAGCATGCTGGGCCCTCCCCCAGCTCGGTGACTGGTGCCTCCTGGATTTGGAGGGACACCTGGGGCCCCCCCACAGTCAATCGTTGAGCTGGGGAGATGTGGGGGGCCCCCACCATGCTCCCCAGCAGACCCAGAAATGGAGTGGAAGTACTTCCAGTCTACTTCTGGGTTTGCCGCTGAGCATGTGGGCGGCCCCCTGCACTCCTGCAGGACGCTCCATCTGCCCCAGCACCACAGCAATCGTGAGCCACACCTGCTACCTCAAGGTACATAGAAAAAACAATTTAAAGCTGTGTCTGTGACCAAATTGCTGATTCTTTGAATCAGCATCGAATCTTCAGATTCAGCCAAATTGAATCAGGGACAGCAATCTGAAACTGAATCCGAACCACTGCCCCTGATTTGGGCCAAATCTGAATTGAATAGGACCTGTTTCACACCCCCCCACTGAAAGGTCCCAAGCTAGAAAAATAAAATCATACATATTTAAGTCCTGAACCAATCCACTGCCAGTTGCACTTAAATGCAACAATAATGAAATCTTGAGCAGGAGATTGTCAAATAAAAACATTCCCATTTATGACCGTTCAAAATTATCCATCAGATGTACTTGAAAATAATTTATGGTCTTTTGATACCATGCCAGATAACTGCTTTTGAAACCCATGTTTTGAAGAGCATTGTGATGTTAATCAGTTTCATTTTACAGCTACTATGATCGCAGCTAAGAAAAGCAGCAACTGTTACATTAGCTGGCATATCGTAATACTCATCACCTATGATTAACCAAGTTACCTTTGATAATGCAAAACACACTTCAGAGATGCTTCTGAAGCCATGTAACATGAACACATTTTTAAAACCTTGTGACAACCTTTCAAAAACCTTTTCTAAAAAAAAAAAAGGACTTGTACCTTCTCACTGGGGATCTGCTTCTTCTGTGTCTGGGTGGTGGAGGCATTCGCCTTGGAGGGCTTCTTCTCCTGGGAGAGGGCCGTCGTCTTGGGCTTGGCCGCCTTCTAGGGGAGTAAGACCTGTCACAATCAAAAATTCAATGAACAGCAACTTCCTACGATTTACTGACTGTAGGTAGCTTGATTTACAAGAAATCAAGAGGGAAGCTGCTTTATAACACACCCATCATACAAAGCTATGTTTTTACTGTAATAAAAGTGTTGCCTTTCAGCCATATCAAGGATGTCAAATTCCACTAAAAACCCTTTCTGATAAGCTGAGCAGTCCAAAGGAGAAATTAAAATCCAAATATTTTTAGGAGATTGTAAAATTGCCAGCAGCTGCTGTATGCCATATTCAGGATTAAGTAACCTTTCCCAGCCTGAGTGATATTTTAAGCATATACCCTACAGCAGGATAGAGAAGGACTACTGAATATTCTCATGTTAAGCATGTTCTGATTCTTTTTCCTCAGACTTGACCTAAAACACTGTGGGATCTCACTTCTCACTAAAAATTTTTGGTAATCTAAGGAGAATACCATGGTGGTATTTTTATAACTATTTTTGGCAATAACTCCGTAAGTTGTGTAAGTGGGAAAATATAGTAAAATTGATTCAGCTCCTATTGTTTTATTTTCAAAGACAGAATTCACTTTACCTTGACCTTGATCTATGACGCCTTCTTGGTCTGGAATGAGAAGGGGACCGAGACCTTGACCGTGACCTTGACTTGGACCGAGACGGTGATCTCTGACGAGGCTTCTCTTTTTCTTTTTCTTTCTCTTTCTCTTTTTTTAAACTTTTTTCTGGAGAAGTTTCTTTAGTATCTGGTACAGGCTCAGGTTTAGGAGCTTTTAGGATATCACTGTTAAATTAAAAAGCCTACAGTATAAATATGTACCATGTGTAAAAATGTTCGTCACGTTTGTAAACAACCTCTGCCAGTGCTCTCACTCATAAGGATCATCATGAACGACACACTCAGTGGACATCCCTTATCCCATTAAAATTCCACTGTGTAATCAGACAACTTATGGTCCAAAGTAAGTATTTACTTTCTGCCAAGAGGTTATTAAAACAATATATAGGTCACACATTAATTTCAAGGGAACACAAAAATGTTGAAGAATGGAATTGAATAATAACCAAATGGAAACATTTGTTGGCGGGGGGGGGGGGAGGATAAGTAT